GCCCCTTCCCCCCCGCCCTCTCTCTCTCTCTCACCCCCCGCTTCCATCTCTTTCCTCACATCTATCGGTCTCTCAGTCCGTTTTTTTTTCTCCTTTCCGTTCGGTTCCTGAGGAACAGATCGCGGTCCCTGGCTCTCGCGTGGATCGCGTGCGTAAACGCGTATCCGATGGTTAATGAACTCGCCGTAATTTCCATCCTCGATCGTCTCGCGCCGCCGCGCCGCCGCTGCAACGCACCGCCGCCGGCGGGATCCCCGTCGGGGATGTCCTTGCAAGGATGCGGGGCGCGATTACCTACCTGCTACCTACCTACCCCCGGCTCCGAATAATTAACGAGTAAATCATAGGTTTCGAGAATTTGCCCGATTCGATGTGACGACTCGCGACGTTCTTCTTCGCGGAATGCACGCCCGTGCGTGATGCAGCACGATTATCAAGCCGTGATGCGCCCTGGCGTTATATGTGTTAGGCGACCGGATGTATATCCCGTTTTGATCGATACATTATTTATCGCCGATAATGGACATCGGAAGAAAGAGATCGTTTCTTCCAGCAAATAAAAAGATATCAGGTGTTTTCTCTCCTATACCTCCCCCTCCCCTCTATCCTTCGGACTAATGTTTAACATCGCATTCGGGGTCGTAATTAATTTCACCGTTCATTCACTCAAATCCGAGCCGTAACCGCGACTGCCCGTAAAAGGAGACACGAATGATTAATGCGAGAAGGTTGCCCCGTACCCGGGAAACTTTCTTTCGTAACGGACGAAGGAATCCGAGCGCGCGAGCGTGTCCGTGGATCGATTTGTCGGAATGTAATCCGGGAACACGGAATATCTCGCGTCACGATCTTAAACCTCCGCCGTCGACCTATCGATGCGAAGCGCGGAGACGTCGTCGCCGGACTAATCTCAGCCGGGTGGATTAGCTCCACCCACGGTTTTACAGCATAAACCGAACGTTCCGAATACCAGTGAGGCGTATCCGCGGTCTAATCGCGCGAGCTCGCGGCCGGCTCGACGTGGCGAGTGGTCGCTCGACCGGCTATCACGCTCGAAGGATGCGAAATGGATGCGCGTCGTCGCGTCGCGTCAGACGGCTAACTCTCTTTCAAGACGCCCGATACACGTACGCGGTAAAGCCCGTTGACACATTTCTGCTCAAGTAACAACTTTGGAGAAGATATTTCGCGAGCTGAGACTGAAAGATCTCCAAAGGATACTTTCAACGTATATATAGATGTAGTGGCAGCTTTTCGAAAAATAAAACGCAGCAACCTCATTTGACATAAATCTACAACGGGTGTAAAACAATAAAAAAATAATGTTAATTGTCGACCGTACGCGGAACGATATCAATCTTAATAACTTGAAAGATTCGAAATACCACTACGATTCAAAGGACTAAAGTAACTGATCGAATACCGGTTCGAGGAGGTGAAAAAAAGTTATTTTCCTATGCTCTCGCAGCCAACGCGAACGGCGGCGTGGCGCAATATTCTCTCTTTCTCTTGCTCTCTACTCGGTACTCTCAGTAGCAGCGCGGATAGAGCCGATGCTTCCGTGTGCGGCACGGTGGTTATCGCTCGCGGCGACGTGACTTCGCCGGCGGTGCGTCGGTTCCTTCACCCGATGCGGCGGTAGCCGGCAAAACGTAGGGAAATGTAATGGCGTTTCAAGCTCAGGTGTGGACGCGCGATCGCGAGCGGTGGTGCGCGTTGCGTAGGTAGGTAGGTAGGTAGGTTGCTGCACAAAAAGCAAAAGAGCGGACCGCGAGCGAGAGCAGGAGGAAGGGCGTCGGCCGGCCTCGCGAAGCGCCACTCGGTCAAGCTCACTGCCATCATCTAGATTCTAGATAGCACGTGAACGCGCGCGAGTGTACGCACGTACGCACGCACGCACGCACGCACGCACGCACACACGCGGCCAAATACCGGCTCTAGGACTGCCGGCCAACCTCGCCGCCACTCGCTTTACCTTCTCCCCTTTTTCTTTTCTCCTCTCCGCGCTATACATATATCGCTCGCTTCCAGCGAGCCGCGCGAAACGAGAGCGCGGTGCGTACAGCAGCTTGATGCCCGTTGCGCCGATGCAGATACGACGCGCGTTTCACGATCAGATCGCGATCGCATCCGCCGCGTCGGTCAATTACGACGATCGATAGCGGAGTTTACGGCGCGACGGACGCCACAGGGATCATCGCGCAAACCAATAAGAATGTCCTATACTTAATGCAAAGAGAAACATGTCCAGAGTTGTGCCAAACATTTTAGAAAGGAATTTCCGGGGACGTATTCTGTTAGAGAAAGAAATGTTTGCGCTGTTAACAATACAATATTAAGATATTCATTGATTTTTTTTGTCAAACATACCCTCTCCTCCTCTGTTTAAGGTATACAAATTTCTATATAAAAATATTTAAAAAGATTTAGATATTATGGCAATTATATGCATGTATGCTTCACCGCGGTAATATTTGTAAAAATTTATGATTTTTTTTCCCCTCTTTTTCTCTTCTCCCGCTCTCTATTCTCTTTTTAGTCTTCTTGATATTTTTCGACGTAGCGACTAAGTAAGTAAATGAGTTCTATTGCGGCGAGAGGCGTGGTCCAGCGGCGTGTTTCCAATGTATTTCGACGGAAGCTTAGGCCGATCGCCGCTTTCTCATTTTCCTCTCTCGCGGGCTAGTTATAAACTCTCTCTCTTTCTGGATATCGCGGCGAGAGGACGCGCGCTAATCGTAAGCGGTCGATTACTCCGCTCCGGAGGCTGCAATTATACGGGAGCTTCGTGCTTGTAATTAAAGTGAGATCGGCTGCGGCAGCGGGAGAAACTTTGGCGGCAACGACGACGACGACGACGACGACGACGAGGCCGACGGCCAAGTTTTTGGCACTCGTCGTATCTCCGCGCGAAGAACCGCGCGCGTTTTCTCGCGACTCGGCGCGATACGAAACTCGCCCTGAATCAACTGGAAGGACAAAAATATCTTATCGGCGTCGCGCGCTGCAAAAACTGACTGTCGTTATTCGTCGCCGCGCCGCGCCGCGCCGCCGCCGCACCGCAACCAATAATTGTGCGTGATTTCGCGCGCGTTCGAAATATTAATCGCGCGACGCGTATACTCGAGGGTACGTCGGACGGCGAGCGGCGAGCGTCGAGCGTCGGCATGCTCTTCACGTTTGGTTCGAGCTTAATCCGCTTATAAGTCCGTATCGATCGACAGTACTTGATGCATATTTCCTATGCACACACTGTACGCATCGAACTCGCCGAACTCGTTGGTTGAGACGTGTCGCTGTAAATCGGAAAACGGGACGTCGTCGGGCCGCGCGAGCGAGGCGAGCGAGCGAGCGAACGGCACGTTAATTAATGACAATTTGAATTTTAATGCCCGACGCGCGGAGAGACGTTTCGCGAAAATGAGCCTCATTAATAACGCATGAGGAGGATAATTTAGAGTTATGTTTCGCGCAGCATCCTCTTTCCCGCCCGGCGCGGCGCGGCGCGACGTCGCCGAGCGTCGCGCAGCGTCGCCGCCGCTTTGTTTCTGCGTTCAAAGCGCAATTATGCGGTATTAGGTTTCCGCTAGAGGCGAACCGTGATTTGGGGCAACAGGTGTACACAATACGCATGCATAATGCACAGGCGGCACATGTAAACTGTCCCCCTACGCCTGCCGCACGAGGTGCACCTACACCAAATTGGCGTTATTAAATTTACATATCCCGGCGGGGCGTGCGAATTAAGCGATTCTTCCTTCCGTTTTCCCCCCCATCGCTACTCACGGCTGCCGCTGTTACGCCAACCTCCCGTGATCGGACACGTCAATTAAAATATTCTCAGGCCGCGATTTCCGCCACTAATTATATGTGTATCCTCGCACGTGACTCCATCCGGATCTATCCAGAATCCAATCCCGTATAGGTCTCGTCCCGCGTAGGCCTCTTACAATTTTAATAGTTGTATTCTTTTTCTTTGAACCATCATAATGACAGACAGACGTCTGTAGAGTTAATAGAAAAATGTTGTGAAAATAACTCTGGCAATCCGCCACTCGTTGCACCTTCTTTCAAATTTCGCGTGTGTACGTGCGCGTGTACGTGTGTTTGTGACCATGAGCCATTGCCAAACCTTCTAATATTCGGCATAGTCTTCCCTCTCGTCACGGCGCACGATTCAAGGTGCCAAATTCCCTTCAAGATACTTGAAAATTCTGCGGTAATGTTTCTACGCTCATATTTTTCATTCGTTTTAATTTATTCATTTAAATATCCGACATTGCGATCAATAAACTCATTCGCTGCCAAAAGTGTCTTCTCGAGAATTTCTTCTTTGCAGTTTTATTATTATTTTTACTGCCAAGAGAGACGCGCTATATAGAAGTGTAACAATTTCAATATACGTCGCGCCGTAAATGCAGTGAGCCTTCATCGCAAATAGATTGAAGAGGTTAAACGCTTTATTTCTCGCGATTGTTTCGGACAATTAATCGTTGTTTCTCCCCGTAAAATGCTTTTTCCGCCGATCAAAGATGATTAAAGGCGCATCGTTGATTCTCGTTGATTCCTGTTAATATCTGTCAACTTTATCGACAGTACGCCGGCTGATTGCTGGTTTAACAGACATTGACCGAATCAGTACTGAAATGAATGACGCGCAACAGGTTCCGCGGTATACTTGTGTGCCTCAATTGCATCGCGCTTGTTGCTTGCATTTGTGTGCACTCGTCCTCTCCTCGCGTGGGATCAAAAGCGAAGTGTTTTGTAAAATATTTTTCCACTTTTGATCACGATGCGCGATGAGACGCGATCGGTGATTCCGCGTGCACGGATGCCGCCCGTATTGCGCGACGCGCGCGCGTGCAATAATGACGATAGCGCGATCCAGGAAAACAGCCGGAAAGATAAGAAAATATCGTAGAAAAGATAAGGCTGGTTCAAAACAGCCATTTCCAATCTCGAACACTTGACAAAGTATATTCGAAAAAAAATGTACAATCTGAGCTCGAAAGTGACATTTTACTATCATGTTAAACGAGTATACTTAATAAAGTAATTGATAGCGTCGAGATAGAGCTGGTATTACTCAATATAGAATCTTTAGTTAAAGATTTATCTGTGAGAAAAAAAATAACGTCTGTCATTTAAGATTTTTCTAAAAATGACAAGGCTTCGAAATTATTAAATTTCGTATTACCTTTTTCTTAGTGTTTATAATTTTACGGAGCTCGTTTAAAAAGCTTAATGCGTTATACTGTTTATACCACATCGAGACGCTGAAATGAAATTTTTAACGGGCTCCCGAGAGTCGGGCGTGAGCCTCGGTAAGCGTACGTCTATGAGTGACACTACTCGCACGGATCTCTCTCCTCTCCAAAGTGTCACCTGAAAATAACTTACCATTGCTATTCTAGTAGCACGCATACAAGTGCACGATGCAGCGCCACCAAAGTCCTCGTACGCATTTAAATCAAGACGAGGACTCCTGGAGGGTACTCCGAGCGTCGAAGCCGCTTCAAAGGGAACAGACGTTCTATTGTCGCCGACGGTGCGTTTACATCGCGAATAAATCGCGAAATGTATGCGCTACGTAATTTACGTGCGGTTAAAACAAGGGAATTTCCGTGCGAAAGTCTTGTCCACGACGCGATGCGTTTATCTACAAATAAACACAAGATATTGTTATTATAATTGTACTTTTCTCTTAAAATACTAAAGATATGGGTCGTGCGATGCTAATATAGAAATTAATCGTGAGATATGCATTTGCATACGCATTACCAGACATATTCTACTAAAAAGAGAATGGAACGTGCATTACGTGCGAACCGTCGCTCTGCCGTGTGATTCACGCTATAAATCTAAAAATATCTGCCGCTCTCTCGGTCCGCGAACTCCGCGCGACGCCGGCAAAAAAGTTGCAGAGATTCGTGCACGCCGCGTATTCGGTGACGTACAACGTTCTAACCGTAATCGCTCTTGTAATCGCACTAAGCGGCATTACATGCGGTAAGGTTATCGAGCCTTGAACTCCGCTGGACTACCAGAGCAGTAAAAAAACATGAAATATTTCGAAGACCAATGTGATACTTCATATAGCCGTATCAAAGTAGTTCGCGCGAGTTCATCTGCCTATATAAGATTATTTTTAGAAGTACTGTGCCATGTCCAATGGGAATATTGTATTAACGGTTCCGATAATATTATATGCTCGTTCTATGCGCCAGGGTCTTTCACGGATATATCTCGTACAGCCGCGCGACGTATGAAACAAAATACACGACTTTCTAACCCATTGCGACTCACGCCGGTTTCACGAACGCCGTTACATTTCTTCTCCGTACTCCGTGTCGCTTTCCGTTTGTCCCATTCGACGCGGGTTATACGCACGGCGGTTGATCGCTGTCGATATCAACATGCTTGACCTACGGTAAGCGACGTACCTTGTACACGCATTTATACGTACACACGTACGCGATCATCGTGAGTCATCCGCGAGGAAAAAAAGACGCGTCGACGCACACAATCGCGGTAAAAACCTGCGCGCGCGACGCGACGTTACGCAGCCCGCGTGTCTGCTTGAGTTATCCTCGATGTTATTTTATGCGCTTCCGGCGCTTACGGTCTTTCGTCACGTTTATCCGCTTCCGATGCGCGGTCCGCAGCATTTCGGCGGAAACTCGCGACAAGACGGAGAACGGAGGGAACGCGTCGCGCGGAAATCGTCGAGATCAACCGCATCGACGATCGTCATCGTGTCTACGCGGACGTCGGAAGAAGTTTACCTCCCTTTTTTTTCCTCCTTCCATCGCGCATTTCCGTCGCGCCGGAAGCTTAAATCGCCGAGTTGTTGCGTCGCGGCGCGCTTATACGATTAGCTTCCGCAAAATAAAAGACATCATATAGCCTGTATATCCCCGTCAAAGTTAATTCATATTAACTGGATGTTTTTTTTTCTTTATTCCGTCAGATATCATTATACGCGTAATTTTTCGACATTCCTTTTGGAAAGTTGACGTAACGGCGAAACAGCGAATGGCAATCCCGGGTATAAAGGGAGCAACGTTAATCGACGTATAATATAGAATTAGAAACGAAACCGCCGCGCCGCGTGGAATAACCAACGGAAGCAGCGCCGGATTACCTAGAAGCTGCCAGCTAATTGCGAGGTTGTAACTTCGTGTAATGATACGTTCGCGGTTATCCAGCAATGCGTACTGAAGGCGAATCGCGCATTGCTCGAGTTAGGTCATTCAAATTCGTTGCGTTACACATGTAAATATCATGAAATCGTGATACGCGGACTCGTCGCGTATAAATATCCTTCGCGCACATTTTGTACCTATAGCGGAATACGGCGATTTGTTCTAAACTAGGAAATAGCCGGGAAAACGCGTCTTTTGGCTTTCCAAAGGTCAATCATAAATCGCCGTATTTTCCAATCGGTAAAACCAATCGCGGCGAGCGCGTTCACGCAACACCCGTACGTCACGCAATATTCGTCGTCACGTATCCGCGCCATTTCGTGGAAAACGATTATATAATTACGGCCGTCAGTCGTAACGAAGCAGGAACGCGATAGCGGGCGACTAGTCGATTCATGATTGTTCATTTAATTCTCATGCAATCGCGGTTCTTGTCACACGTCGCTATCGGACACTTGATTCGCGCGACTCCCACTCGCGAGTGAATCGAGCGCATAGTTTAAACGGCAGAAAACCGTTCGGCGAGTCCTTCCGCGCGAAAGGACTCGCAGCTGACCGGGCCTTGGTCTCCGGCGTGGCCCCGCGAGTCGCGACCGGAGCTTCCGCGCAACTTGCATGATTATGAGGGAATTAAGCGAAGGATGAGCCAAGTTTCTTGAGGGTGGTTTGACGACGCCGTGGACATTCCCGCGAAAATTCTCGTGGAATCCGCGATATTAGAGCGATAGGAAGGGAATGGGGAAGGAGGATGGACGAGGAGACCCCGGGAGATATCGAAGCGCCCGGTAAAACGCAATCAGAATAGTAATTAAGGATTCGGTTAACGCTCCAAGCGCGAGTGTAGAACGCAACCCAATTTAAACATACAAAAGTGTACGGTAGGTTAGCGAGGGAGTGCTCGCCACCGAGACGAGGGAGAAGGGAGGATCGAGAAGGGAGAAGGAGGACAAGGAGGCAGAGAGACGACGCTGGTCCGACGGACCAGCGAGGACAGGGGAGAGGCGGGAAAGAGCAAAGGAGGAGACGCGATGGAACCGATGGAATGAGTCTGTGTGTGTATTTGTGTGTGTGTGTGCTCGTGTGTGTATGTGTGTGTGTGCTTATGTATGTATGCGTGTATGTCATGCGTATTGTGTTGTGTGTATACGTGCGTGCGCTTGTAAATGTGTGTGCATGTATCCATCTCGTCTGGCCACGTGTGTTCTGACTCGTATGTGTGTGCACGGGCATGCTGCGCGGTCCACGAGGATACTCGAGGGGTGTGGTGCACATAGGGTATGCATGTGTGAAGCTGCGCTTCTCGATCTTGGAGCGTATATGAGAGTGTACCGTCCGTGTGCTACAAGCCTGTGCGCGTGTGCACATGTGTGTGTGTAACTGTGTGTTTGTATGCGTGCGAGCGCGCGTGTCGGAGACGATGCGCTGCAAACCTGGGTGAAAAGTAGGGGAGGGAGAGAATTCCTGTGTGCCTCCCGTCCTGTCCCCCTCTCTCCCCGTCTGTCTCCTCTGTCCGTAGCGCGGCAACCCTCCTTCCCCCGCTGCGTCACCCTTCATCCTCCCTCTTGCCTCCATCCTCCCCCTCGCGTCCGGCTTACAACCGTGGGGCCGTTTCGAGAGTGGTAGCAGGTGGACGAGGGGGAAGAGTAGAGAGAGCGGTGCATCGGGAGGAGTGAAGGAGGCAGGGGAGGGCGGGAGAGGAGAGGGTGAGGCTGAGCGCGCGAGGAGCGAAAGAGAGGGACAAAAATCCGGCGGTGGCCAATGGGAGGAAGTCCCCGAACCCCGCGAGCGGAGGAAGAACCGACAACGTCGCCAGAGTTGGAGTTTTTGTTTACCGCGCGCGCGCTTCGAGGAGGAGAGCCGCGTATCTGCTGCCGTAGCAGCATGAGCAGCATCAGCATCAGCAACGGCGACAGCAGCCAGCAGCAGCAGCAGCACCACCAGCAGCGGCAGCAGTAGCTGCACCAGCAGCAGCAGCAGTAGAAGCAGCAGCATCGGCGACAGCAGAAGCGCCAACCATCTCCGTCGTCTTTCTGCTCTTGCAATGCTTCGGTTCCTCTCGCCGGACAGCCGGACCAGGAATAGATAGAGAGGGGGGAAAAGATTTGTAGGAGTATAGGAAGGATGAAGGACGAGGCGAGGAGGAAAGAATAAGAGAAAGAGATAAAGGGAGGGAAAAGGAGAACGTAAAGGAGAGGAAGAGATTGTCTCGGCGATGCCACGATTTTGATGTTACTCGATAAAATTACCCATGTTTCTTTTGCGACCACCGCCAAGTCGCGCCGCCGTCTCTTTTCTCGCATTTGGACCGTCAAAAGATTATCCCGAATGTCGCATATCTTTGTTACATTTACAAGAACGTTTTTCCGCGAAAGCTGTTCCGTAATTCCGTCTTAAAACAAATACCAAATCGTTAATTGAATTGTGCAAGCGTTTGCTTATGTTAAATTAATTAATATGCTGAAATGTCGATTAATTTTCGTAATTTTTTTGCGGTATATGTTGCGTGATACTCTACGATTCGAAATTTGTAAGAAACTCGATAATGTCCGAAAAGCGTACCGATTAATTTTTCTAAGAAAATGTATTATATTGTGAAAAACAAAATGAGCGGGAACACAACAAGTTTGAACTTCTATATTGATCAATATGAAATCAGGATTCATATTGTGATAACAGGTACATAATTTAGAGATGACAGAGTTGCGGAACGTATCATCTCGGTAATAGATTTTTTTCGGAGTCAGCGATAGCGCGTGTATTCGAACGGTATGTCGTATCGAAACTCGAAACTTCGAGAGATGTAGATCGATGAGCTGCAAAGACACGGAACATCGACCGCAAATCACGTTCCAACGAGTGTCCTCCCGCGAATCGAGAGACCGAAAGTAGTGTGAACCACGCGAGTGTACCTTCCCTTTCTCTCTGCTTCCCCTCTCACTCACATGCCTTCTTTTATTCCCTAACGGCATCCTTTCTGCTCTCTTTTTGCGAGGTCTCCTCCATCCTTCTCTCTGTGTCAGGGCCGATTGACCGAGCTGCATGGGAGAAAGCACATGGCGCGAGAGGATTTCGTCGCCGCAACGATATTTTGTCGAGGTTCGGTGTCACTTCTGCGTATCTCATTCGCAGTCATGTAACACTCGCGATAATTGTTATCGATGACATGCAACAACGATGATTACGCGAATCATGGTGTCTTATTGCTCGTCTAGTCGCGCTAGTCGGAAACGGAACGTCCCTAATTGCAAAGCTACAATAACGCGTGCTCCGGGACACCAACGCTCCGGTTTCGTGGTCTTTAAAATATTCTGCAGTCGCTTCAAGCGAACACGTGCTTTGTTCCCATTGTTATTATCATTGACGCGACTATATATACGATAAATCTTTTAGAGCGATTCGAAAAACGATAGAGTTTTCAAAATTTGATACATGCCAATAAACAACAGGATGTATG